AAGCTCTTTAGAAATGTTGGTTATCAATATTTAAAGATGAGCATAAGGGCAAAGTTTCAAAAACAATTCGTATTGAGACCCACAGACATCTTTCTCTGCTCGGTCTTTTATCTGGTGTTTCTAATCTGGTGATTCACTTTAGGGATCCCCTGCTAGACACCCATCATCTGCCCAGATGCCTCCTCCAGCTCCCTCAACCCCACATTCAAGCCCATATCCTAACGCCTTCATCTCCCGGGTGTCTGTGGGATCGTCCCCTGCACGCCCTGTGCACGGCCACCCTGATCTCATTCTTGAACCACTGCAAATGTCCCCCTGCCTCTTGCCTGCTCCCCTCCAACCATCTTCTCACCGCAGCCACAGTGATTTTTCTAAAACAAAAATATGCTTCCACTCAAATGCTCTCCATAGCTCCCCAGTGACTCAGTATCCAGTCCAGGCTCTTCAGCTAGGTCCCTCTTCCCATCTCCCACTCCAGCCTCATGTCCCCATCTCCACTGTCAGAATGCTATGCCCCGGTTCCAGCTGCCTCCTTGCAGTTCCCCCAAAGCCTTGGGCTCCCAGGCTCTGCCGCCTGGGCAGGGGCTGCCTCCTCTGCCTGCATCTCTTCCTTCCTTCTCCTGCCTGCCCATCTCCTGCCTGCTCAGGCTCAAGATGTAGCCCCCGTCTCCCCTTCCCTGGGAAGCACTTCATGATCCCTCCACGGCCTCCGGACAGGGTGCAGACCTTTCTCGGCATGCCCTGAGCCTCTGCATGCTGGAAAAGGGCTATCTCGGTTCGTTGGTATCACCAGAGATGCCCGGCACACAGCAGGCCCTCAGAGTATCTCCAGGAAATGAATTCAGAATGTCCATTTTGCTCATTCGGCCTACAATGTCCTCTTTCCCATCTTCTCTGTCCCAGCATCTCCTTCTAGGCCTGGCTCAAATGTCACCTCTTCAGGAGCCTCCCGGTAACCCTCACCCCTATGTCATCCCTGCATTAATTATTTCACTTTCTCCTCAAAGAGGCAAATGCAACAGGCATGAACTTGACATGTGCTGAATGAATGAACAAATGACCAGGATTATGGTCTAGACCAATGTTTCTCAACCGGGGTTGGCCTCCCCCAGGGGACATTTGACAATGTCTGGAGACCTTTTGGGGGTCACAGGGGTGCTGCTGAGATCTGGTGGTGGGGGCCAAGGATGCTGTAACACCTCCTGCAATGCACAGGACAGTCCCCAACCAGGAGTTATCTGCCCCAAATGTCACTTTCTCAAGGCTGAGAAACTGGGCTAGAGCCTGTTGCCTACAAATCTGTCTTCCTAGTGCACAGAGGGCCCCAAGCACTGAGCCGGATATGATTTCTCTGATTTTCTCAGTTCCCACCACAGAGCAGGCACGCAACAATTTTTTTTTTACACGGAGTCTCGCTCTGTCACCCAGGTTGGAGTGCAGTGGCGTGATCTCCGCTCACTGCAACCTCTGCCTCCCGGGTTCAAGCAATTCCCCTGCCTCAGCCTCCTGAGTAGCTGGGATTACAGGTGCAGGCCGCCACATCCGGCTAATTTGTCTGCATTTTTAGTAGAGACGGGGTTTCACCATGTTGGCCAGACTGGTCACAAACTCCTGACCTCAGGCGATCCACCTGCCTCAGTCTCCCAAAGTGCTAGAATTACAGGCATGAACCACCGCGCCCAGCCAACAGTTTTTTAAAATAAGCTCATGGGTGACATATTTCTTGCCCTTTTCCTCTCCCCCGCTTCCATCTCTCGCTAGGAGCTTGGCCTCAAACTACTGTCAGATGCCCCTTCGGGGGCTATTCTTGGGTCCTCAGGCTTCAGCTTGCTAAGTCCCTCCAGTTTCTGCTGCCCCCAGCCTTCCCTTTCTCAGATTTGCCTGGTCCCCACAGCCAGGTGGAGTAAACAGGCAGGAAAGGGAGACCATATTTCCAAGATGGCGGGGAGGTTTGCTGGGTGCTGGGGACCCTAGGAGTGAGTCCTGGTTGGTGACTAACTTGCTGTGTGACTTGGCTGAGTCACAGACCTGTCTGGGCCTGGAGCTCTCAGTGAGGTGATGGGGGCGTGTAGACAGACCCTCTCTGGGCCTGCCCCCTCTAAAGGACAGGGCAGTCCCCCACCATTCCCAGCACCTCTCCCCTGCATGCAAGAGTGCTCCCTGGGAAATCCTGGGAGGTGCGGAGGAGACAAGGATTCCTCCGTCTTTCCCCAGCCTGGGTGCTCCAGGTGCCCCGGGCTCTGCCACTCACTGGGGTGCCACCGTCTCCAAGGGCGCCGCTGTCAGCTGTGACCCCTGCGCCCCCAGAGGCGACCAAACAAGCGGCCTTTGTGGTCTGTGCGTCGGCGGCCCTCGGGGAGCGTCACAAAGGGAGGGAAGAAAGGCCGCCAATCCTCTTAGGGCCAGCCGCCGGCTTTCCCACTGTGGCCCATCTGCTCCTGGGGAGCGGGCATAACCGCCGCCCGGCCCCACGGCGCGCAAAGCAAGCAAAAGCTGCTCGGGAATGAAAGGCAGGGGCCCGGGCCAGCCCAGATCCCCACGGCAAACACAGGCCTGGCCAGGGGCCTGGGAGGGGGCAGGGCTGATCCCCGGGGGAGACCATGGTTAAAAGCGCCGCCCCAGGAGGGGGACCCAGGGCTAATCCCCTCCTGCCCCACGCCTTCCCTTCCCACACCCCTACAAGGAGAAGGGGAGAGGCAGGGAGGGGCTGGGATCAAAGGTCCTTCCTCCTGTGCCAGGCGCTCAGTGGGGTCCTTTCTACACACCCCTGTCCTTTCCTTGAAGCACCCTATTTTATAAAGGGACTCAGTAAGGCTAAGTCAGTTGCCCAGGGTCACCCAGCTGCGATGTGGCAGAGCTGGGATCTCAGCTGGAGGCTGAATCTGAATTCTTTCATCCACGTAGCTGAAGTTTGCTGAGCCACTCCGTGCCAGGGGCTCTACAACCATCTCCATTTCTTACTGCAACTCTTTTAACAGATGGGGAAACTGAAGTCTATAGGCTGGTGGTGACTGCCCAAGAGCACAGACCAGATCAAGTCCTGGCTCTACCACTCCCCTGCATTCTGGTCCCAACCCCTATCACTCATGTGCAACCTTGGGCCCTGCCAGCCCCTAGCATGGGCCCTCAGGCCGGTCACTTCACCCCCCGGAGCCTCGATTTCCTCCTATGGAAAGTGGGGATCTGTGAAGGGCGTAGTTCTGAGGGTTTGATGAGATGATCTGCTAAAGACTTTAGCTCAGGCCCGGCACACAGTAGGCACCCAATAATGGCTGCTACTATTGGTATTACTTGGCCCAGAGCAGGATGGATCCCAGACCAGGAAGAGAAGGAAACAAAGAATTTCCGCCCACTAATGGCTGGCCCCAAACACTTCTTTTTTCCATGGTTGGGATTGGTTTGGCAGAGTAAGGAAGGAGCTGGAGAAAGGGGGAGGGAGGCAATGGATGCGTGGGAGGCCGCAGCTGGGGCCCAGGCTGAATCCACCCAGGGAGGGAGCTATAGACCAGCTGCCCCACCTCCCACCCACGAGCGGCCCACTGCCCAGGCGTGGTGGCATCCAGAACATCAGAGCCCAAATGCTGCCTCCTACACACACACACACACACACACGTACACACACACATATATTTGCACATGCGTACACTCACACATGTGTGCACACACAAATATACACATACATATGCACACATACACACATAACCACACACATGCACGCACACATATACTCCCCACATACACACACGTGCACATAACCACACATGCACACACACACCCCACCCAGACACACATGCACACACATACACAGATGTCACTGTCACACACATTCACACACATCTCACTTACCACAAATACACACATGCACACATACACATACACACATGGACATACATATGCACACATACACTCACACGCACACTCATACACACATACACTGTCACACACACAACCACATGCACACACACATATCCCCCCACAGAGACACACATACACACATGCACACACACATACAGACATACACACTCTCACATACACATAGACACACCACAAATACAAACACACATGCACACACACATGCACATACATATACACACACACACACACACATACACGCTCACACACATACACACATAACCACATACACATCCCTCCAGAGACACATATACACATGCACACACATACACACACACAAACCACACACACCACACACAAATACATACACACATACATATACACACTCACACACACACAGACATATACTCACACACAGATACACATAACCACATACACACATATCTCCCCAGAGACACACACATACACACATGCACACACACATATATACACACAGATATACACACCCTCAAACACACACATAACCACAACACACTCACACACACCACACAAATACATACACACATGCACACACACATGCACATATATACACACACATGCACACATACACTCTCTCTCACATAACCACACACACCACACATAAATACACACATGCACACATGCACTTACATATACACACATATATCCACACACACACGCCCCCACAGAGACACACACATACACACATGCGCACACCCATACACACACACACACGCAACCCCAGCTCTGACTGTTTTGCAGATTTGGAACCTGAGGCTCGGGAGAGGGGCTGTGGCTCACTGAAGATCACTCAGCTCTTGAGCATGGCCCAGGCCCCCCAGTCACCCTCTCCCATCCCTCAGTGGGATCTGGCCCTGAATCCCACCAGCCTTGCTCCATGCCTTGTCCACCAAGGAGCCATGCAGGGGACAAGGGGACAAGGAGGCGATGGTCCCTATGCTCCCATCGAGCCGGCTGAGTTAGCCACTCTGCCCTTGGCATTCCCCTAGATCTGGAAATGGGTTCTGCTCAGAAAATGGAAATGAATCCATTATTCATTCTCTCTCTCTTTTCTCTTCCCTTCCTCCCTCTCCACCCCTCCTCCCTCCTTCCTTCCATCTTTTCCCCCTGCTTGCCCTCTCTTTGTCTCTTTTTTTCTCTTCATGTCTCTTTTAATCTCTCTCACATCACCGTCTTTCCGCTTCCAGCTGCTCCTCCCTCCCCCAACTCTTGCCCATGACACTGTTCCCAGGGAACCTGACTGTGTGGCTTTGAGCCTGTTTCTGCTCCCTTCTATGTACCAGGGGGTTGCTGGGAGCGTCCCCCACTGACAGGCCCCCTCTGGGGTATGGGGGTGCAGTTAGTGCAAGACAGGCCATGGTTTGGGGTCAGTTCCAGCCCTGTCACCAACCTTATGCAACTCCTTTTCTCCTCCAAGTCTCGTCTCTTCCTCTGTGTGTGGAGTGGGCACCCATGAAGAACATGGCCTCCACAAATGCCCTGCCCCCCAGAACCAGAGCCACGGAACCCTTTGAGGGATGCATAAGAACTGTATTCACCTTTGAAAATGGTCCCCCCTCCAAATCCTACTGCCTGACCTCCTGCCCAAAGCTCTCAGACTGTCCCCCTCCCAGAATAGAGCAGAGCAGAGCAGGCCTAGGGATGTCCTGACTTGGACTGACTCCAAAATGTCACCAGTGGACCAAAGCATTCCCAGTTAACCTTGGCCTTGTAGGGTGAGAGGTCACAGAAATAAGCGAGACCAGGAGTCAGACAACCTAGGTCCTAATCCCCGCTCTACTTCATGCCTGACTGAGGGTGTTGGAGAAGTCCCTTTACCTCTCCTGGCCTCATTATCCCTCATCAGGGAACTGGAGCTAATTGCTGATTTGTGCTTGAAATTAAAGAAAGGGAGGTTACCACAGAAACTGGCGCTAAGGTGGTATTTTGCTGAATTCATGGATCGGCTAATTTATGGACCACAGACTGTCTGCCCCACCCAGGCCCTTTCTACTTAGGGGGAAACTGAGGCTGGGAGAAGGGAGGCAACCTGCCCAGGGTTGGCGGCGAGTGGCAGCAATGCCCAGACTTGAATTCCAGCCCGACGTTTAAGTTCCTCAATGCAGGCTATCAAAGACAGCCGATTCCAGAAGGGAGATCAAAGGCCTGCTTCCTTATTTACAAAGAGAAGTCCTCATTAAAACATGGCCAACGGCTGAGGCGGCTATGGAGATAGGCCACGTGTGCGCCAACAGAGAATTCACCGTCCCAGACTGTGCTGAGCAGCAGGGGAGCTGTTCAGTGAGTCTGTGCTAGGGAGAGCCGGCCCGAGGGTGGGGTTAGTCAGGGAGGGCTTCCTGCAGGAGGACTGGGTTCGGGTCAGCCTCACAGGGAAGATGGGACATCCAAGGAGAGTTGACCACAGCTACCTTTTTTGTTGTTGTTTTTTTAAGTTGGAGTCTTGCTGTGTTGCCCAAGCTGCAGTGCAGTAGTGCTATCCTAGCTCACTGCAACCTCTGCGTCCCAGGTTCAAGTGATTCTCCAGCCTCAGCCTCTTGAGTAACTTGGAGTACAGCATGTACCACTATGCCCGGCTAATTTTTGTATTTTTAGTAGAGACGGGTTTTCTCCATGTAGGCCAGGCTGGTCTTGAACTCCTGGCCTCAAGTGATCTACCTGCCTCGGGCTCCCAAAGTGCTGGGATTCCAGGAGTGAGCCACTACACTGGGCCCACAGCTACCATGATTGAGCACCTACTGGCAGGCACTGACAGTAACTCTGAGAGGCTGGGATCCTGTCCCTGTTTTCCAGGGGAGGAAAGAGAGGCACAGGGACCTGCTGGGGGATCGCCACAGGGCAAGCCAGACACCACTGAACCTGGCTCTGGGGTCCCCGTACCTCCAAGCTTGTCGCTACTGGGCTGCGCTGCCTCTTCAAGGATAACATGAGCCACTGTGTGTATCTGGGTGGTGGGAACATGGTCTGTCACCAGAGTCATTTGTCAAAAGCAAAATGTGTGGGAAGTGGGATGGAGGGGCCCGAGGAGGGCCTGGCTGGAAAGCAGGTTGGGGCTGGACTAGACAGATCCTTCCAGCATGCAGAGTCCAGGGTTCTTTGATTCGACGGAATCCTTCATGAGCATCTCCTATGCAACAGGTACTGTTCCAGACATGAGGGACACAGCAGCGACAAAACCAGATGGCATCTGGCCTTACGGAGCAGATCCCTTGAGAAGGATGAAGAATAAATCCATAAATAAATACGATCATGTCTCATTTCAGATGGTTATCAGTCTTCCAGAGCTGCCGCAATAAGATAACACAAACCAGGTGCTCAAAACAACACGCATGGATTGTCTCGCAGTTGCGGAGGCTGAACGTCTGGAATCGAGGCATGGGGAGGCCTGCTTCCTCTGAAGACTTGGGGAAGAATCCTTCCTTGTCTTTTCCAGCTTCCGGTGGCCCTGGCGTTCCTTGGCTGGTGGTGGAATCGTTCATATCTCTGCCTCTGTCTTCACATGGCCTCTTCCCTGTGTCTGATGACATCACTTGAGAACCTGGATCCAGCCACACCTGAAGTTCACTTCTGGTCATTTCAATGATGTGCATCCATAAACTCCATTTATTCACTCTAGCCAACTTGGTGTCCTGACTTACACTATTTTCTTATCTGGAAAACTCCAAGGAAGGCAGTGTGAGCCACCCTCAGATGACAAGTACACAACTTCTTGCCCTCCCCACCTTCCCTGCTGGACCAATAACCTTCATGCCCATCCCAGGCATCATTAGCCAATAATAATGGTAAGGAAGACTGTGCTCTTCAGGCCGGGCACGGTGGCTCACGCCTATAATCCCAGCATTCTGGGAGACCAAGGTGGGCAGATCACCTGAGGTCAGGAGTTTGAGACCAGCCTGGCCAGCGTGGTGAAACCCTGTCTTTACTAAAAGTGCAAAAATTAGTTGGGCATAGTGGCATGCGCCTGTAATCCCAGCTACTCGGAAGGCTGAGGTAGGAGACAGAGGTGGCAGTGAGCCGAGATCACGCCACTGCACTCCAGCCTGGGCGACAAAGTGAGACTCCATCTCAAAAAAAAAAAGAAAAAGAAAAAACGCTCTTCTTTCCCTGATTCTCTGCCTAGTAAACTCCTATTCATCCTTCAAGATACAGCAGAGAATGTCACCTGTATTGTAAAGAAATTCCCTGAAAGTTTGCTGCTCCCTCCTCTGCCTTCTTCTAGCTCCCCCTGCCATGCTGTTCTCCCTGGTGGCAGGGAGTGGGGGAACCTCATAGCAGTCTGTATTGTAAGGTCTGTCTTGGAGCTTCTGAGCTCCTTTGGATCAGGCATCATGCCTCATTCATTCATTCACTCATTCACTCATTCATTCATTCACTCATTCACTCATTCACTCATTCATTCATTCAACAAGTATTACTCAGAGCTCTGAGTCTCTGCTAAGCACACGGCTCAGTGCTGCGTGCTGGGGGAGAGACAGACTTTCCTTTCATGCAGCTTTCCATTGATCTAGAGAAACTGATGAGAAAATAGTTAACATCATGTGTGACATGATGATGGGGAAGTCAGTAGAGGGACTATTGAAACGCAGGAGCCAAAGGGTGGGGCTGTACACGGGCTGCTGGGGAGAGGGGCCAGGGGACTTCCAGGCAGAGTGTGCAAAGGCTGAGAGCCAACAAGTGCACAGCACGTCCATGAAACCAAAAAAAAATTCAGATGGCCTGGATTAGAGAGGGTGGGTGAGGCAGGAAGGGCCAGACCGGGCCAAGGAGCTCAGATTCATCCTGCGAGCCTTGGACAGCCGCTGAAGGTTGTGAATAGCAGAGAGATGTGGTGGAGACCACGTTAGTCCCCATATGGAGATGGGCAGCCCAAACCTGAGCAAAATCCAGCTGGAGCCGCAGCAGGGCCCAGGCAGCTTGGACTTCGGGGTGGCAGAGGGTGGAAAGAGTGGAGTGGCAGGAGCTGGCAACTGGTTGAAAAGAGTAGCGTAGGGAAGGGGAAGGCGCCAGGGTGATATCTGGGTTTCCATCTTTTGCAAGCAGGAGGTTGGTGGGACATCCCTGAGAGGGAGGACACGGGGTATAAGCAGGGCGGGGGCCAGGGAAGGGGATGGCTTCGGTTTGGGGATGTGGGGTTTGAGGAGCCTGCAGCACCTCCAGATGCAGATGTGGATCCATCTCTGTGTTCATACCTTTCCAAGCCTGGATGCCTGACCCTTCGTGCCGGTACAGTCCCACCCACTCAGCAGCGTCCTTGCTCTCCCTTGGCCCCTCGCCTTTCCATGCCACAGGGCACCCCTCTGCAGCTCTTTGAAGAAGCCACGTTCTCCCCAACCTTCTCATGGCCTTTGCATATGCTGTTTCCTCTATGCTTCCTGCTTCGACCCCCTTTGCCTGGCTAATTATTTGTTATATGGCATCCCCTCCAGGAAGCCTTCCTGACGTCCCCCAGTTGGGAGAATGCACTCCTCAGATCTCCCCCAGCCCTTTCTGTGGCTGCCACCATAGGGCTTCCTAGTGCGGTATGGCACTCCTGAGTCACACTGGCAGTGGACAGTGGGTAAGTGTCATGCTCTGGGGACAGGCTGTCTGCGTTCAAACCCTGAGAAAGCCAGTTGACCTCTCTGTCTCTCAGTTCCTTACCCTTAGAATGGGGATAACAATAGTTCTTACCACTCAGGATTTGCTGTGAGAACTAATTGAATTAGTCCTCTTAAGGAACAGTAAGGTGCGTAGTAAGTATTCACTGTTAGCTACCGTCATGGGTCCCTGCTTATCTCACCCAAGTGTCTTGGGGGTCCTTGTGGGCCAGTTCTTCCCCAGCAAACAGCGTGGGGCTAGCACACGGGCAGAACCCGCCCAATTGCCTGGGGAAGGATCAGGGCATTCTGGGACTGGCTTTCTTCCACTCAAATCCAACAAAAGAGACTGCATAGAACAGTATCGGCACAGAGGGCCAGGCCCATGTCTTGATGCTGGGAGGACACACATTGCGATCGTCTGACCTAGCACCTGCCTCTGGGGAGGCGCTGGCAAGGCGTCTGAATTCTCAAAACACACCAGCGACTCAAAGATGGAGAGAACCCCTCCGGTTGCTTTCTCGCTGAGACCCTGGATGCTTCTCCCATGAGTATTTCCCACCCCGTCTGGGTCCGTCGCACACCTCCAGCATCATCTCCTAGCCCCGGGGCCTCCAGCCCGTTCCTCCTTCCCTGTCCCCAGTTCCCCTTCAGGCTGAGCCCTGGCAGGGCCCCTCCTTGGCTGCTCCTCCTGGAAACTGGCTTGGATTATGCAGCATTTTTGCTCAGCAAGGCTGGGAGGAGACAGACCCTCCCATCCTCCCACAGCAGCCCCTGCCTGGCTGGCGCACAGCCCCCAGGCCACACTCTCCTTCCCATCCCCCTTGAAGCCCTTTCATTCCTGGTCCTGACAGCTCTGTCCTCAGCGACACTCTCCCTCCTACACAAACTCATTCCCTCCTCGGCCAGGCCTGTCTCTGGGCACTGTATGTGGGAGTCCACAGACACTTCAAACCCAGTGCATTCCCGTTTATCATCTCCTCCCCAGACCTGCTCCCCGACTGCGACTGCGGCCCTGTCTTGGCAGCCAGCAACAGGCACCCAGGCCCTGCCTCCCAGCCCACTGCCTTCTCTCAAACCTGCCCCTGCTCTCCTGTGCCCTAGCTCCCATCCCATCCCTAAAAGCTGCCCCTTCACCAGTCTCACCGTCTCCCAGATTTCCCCTCATCCAATTCATCTTCCTCAGAGTGTGACCCGGGATCCCCAAGACCTTTACGGGGAATTTTCAAGGTCAAACTTTTTTCAAAATCATAAGCCAGACATAAAAGAGATGTGGAAAAATGTGAAACAGTGGTATTCTGTCCACTAAATACTTTTATTTGGGAAAATAGTTATTTTTCATAAAATATATTATTCACTTAAACATGGAATGGGTTTCTTATTATTATTTGGAAATGAATTTATAGATAAAAATGTTCACATTTCCTCAGTCTTAATTTTCTTTTTTCTTTTCCTTTTTTTTTTTTTTTTTGAGATGGAGTCTTGCTCTGTTGTCCAGGCTGGAGTGCAGTGGCGCAATCTTGGCTCACTACAATCTCCATCTCCTGGGTTCAAGCGATTCTACTGTCTCGGTCTCCCGAGTGGCTGGGACTACAGGCACCCACCACAATGCCTGGCTAATTTTTGTATTTTTAGTAGAGACAAGGTTTCACCATGTTGGCCAAGATGGTCTCGAACTCCTGACCTTGTGATCCGCCTGCCTTGGCCTCCCAAAGTGCTGGGATTACAGGCGTGAGCCACAGTACATGGCCCGTCTTAATTTTCAATACACGTAAATATCATGTCCATGGATTGTATCAATAAACCATATAAGTGACGGCTCTTCCTCAAAAAGTTTTGAAGAGTATAGAAGGATACTGACAGCAAAAAGTTTGAGAATCACGGTTCTAGAATTGATTGTCAGAGGCGTAGGTTGTGAGGACAAGGGTCTTATCTGTCTTACTCTCAATCAGGGCCTGGCGCTGTGCCTGGCATTCAGCGTAGTAGGCTCTGGCACTCAACATATGCTTACTGAACAAATAAATGAAGATGTCCCCCTCCCCACCCAGACCCTTCCTTGACCCCTCACTGCCCACTGGATTTAGTCCAAGCCCCATGGCTTTTTTAAAGTTGCCCGAAGGTGCTGTTCCCTCTTTGTCTCCAATTCTCTGCCCACTCTGTCCCTCTGCCCCAAATACCTTCCTTGTCCTTCTTCACCTGACTATTGCCTAATTCCCTCTTCAAGATGAGAGTCAGGCATCACCTCTTCCAGGAAGCCTGCCCAGATGCCTCTCATCTGAGCTGGATGCCCCTCTCTGCTCCTATCATTCTCACACTGCCCTCTGTCAAAGCATTTCAGAGCACCCGTCACCCTCTGTTGAAATGGTCTGTTTTGGTGTGTCTTCCCCAGAAGACTGAAGCCCCATGCTGGTCTCTGCATCCCCATCCCTGGCATAGAGCCTAGCATAGAGTAGTTGCTCAGTGAATCCTGGAGCTGAATGAGTAGCCTGTGACAGGTGGACAAATAGTGGTGGGTCCAGAATTTCTATATAGAGGAGCTTCAAGGCAGCTATCTTGCTAGAAGGCCTGTTGCGGGGTGGCTGAGGAATTCACTGAAGTCATAGTGACTCAGATAGGTTAAGCCATTTGAACTCTCTTGAGCCTCAGTTTGCTTACTTGTGAGATGGGGTTAACGACAATACCTCTCCTCCCTGCTTCACAGAAATGTTTTGCAAACTGTAAAGTACTGTACACATGCAAGATGTTCATTGTAACTATTAGAGCTCGGAAGGGACCTGGAGATGGCATCATAGCCTTAATCTCAGCGCTGAATAAGACCTGAACAATCAGCCGGGTGCGGTGGCTCATGCCTGTAATCCTGCCATTTTGGGAGGCCAAGGCAGGTGGATCACGAAGTCAGGAGTTCAAGACCAGCCTGGCCAACATGGTGAAACCCTGTCTCTACTAAAAATACAAAAAATTAGCCATGCGTGGTGGCATGCGCCTGTAATCCCAGCTACTCGGGAGGCTGAGGCAGGAGAATTGCTCGAATCTGGG